CATATGAAACACTAGATGATTTATATTGATCATTAAGATTTTGTGATTTCAATTTACTTTATTTGAAATTCGCAGTAGTTAATAGTGAGACTAAGCTTAGAACACTGTCTATGGTTTGAGTGCCCATTGGTAAAAATAAAAAGACCATATACAATTCCGAACATTTTTTATTCTAACTGAAACGTTCATCGCTCTCGATACATGCTATAATTCTCAAAACAGCTGAGCATACGAAAGCAGATTGAAAAAGAACATGAGTTCTTCGCAGACACATTTTATGCGTAAAGCAACATTCCTTATTTTACGGAATCTCTCCCCTAAAGCTCTGCAGGCCTCCGAAGGGCAAGGTGAAAATTGTTTTTGGAGAGAAAAGCAAAGGAGTACACGGGGTCTGGAAAAGTGCACATCTGCGCGAGAAAGTCGAATACAAATTACCAATAATTCACATGGAATGATTAGATCCTTTGGAATATAGACATCCTTCAAAATATAAAAATTGCATCATGGTTTTGAGGATTGCTTGCAAATTTTTGGAAACGTATGAGAATAAGAGCAGCACCTTTTTGTAATTTAGGTCTCCGGTAGAAACGTACGCCACAGTTTCCGACTGCAAAACGCTTTTGCTTCTTATAATAGAGCTTTTTTTATATAAAACACTTTTTGGCACCTCTTGAACCAACTTGTAGCAAAACCAGATCAAAGCGCTTTCTCTCTTCCTGCCTATGCTTATTCGAAAGAAATTTGTTCTATTTATAAGATGATAGTGTCATATACAACAAAGGGTAGTGCTTTTACCTTTACGAATTATCATTTGGTTATTTTCAAAAAAATTTTCTTATTTTGACAATGTGAACGCATTTATTCATATTAATCATATAATAGCATTTTCGGCAATAATCTACTTACAATGCTTAGACAAAGATGTGATGAGGGTTCACATTCTTTTGAATTAGTCAAGAGCGAATGAAAAATTGGCTTTTCTTTTCTGTAGTGATGGTAAACGTACAAATGAAGTTTGTTCATTTGATTGACCTCGTCGATAACAATAAACTTCAACTCAATTTATCTAGTTTATTACTTAACTGTTAGCAGACACAGAGAGTTCTCAAGCAAAAGTAATTTTCAAGGCAAACAGTAGACGATCAAGCATATATAAGATAATCACTTTCAAAGCGAGACGTGCACAGTAGCTTGAATTGGGAATATGATTAGTATCTTGCAACCATATTTGGTAACTCAATCGAATCACCTTCGCCCACATCTTCAGTTCTCACAGAAATTGTTTCACTTGCATCTCCCGCTAGGACAGTTGATCCTCCAGCTCCTAGTCTGCAAATACTACTTGCTCTTGTAACTGAACCTCTTTCTAAAATAGGCATTCTTCCGGCATTTCGTTCAACAGTCCCGCTACCAGCAGTTGCTCCTTTGCCTGCACTTAACTCCAAGGTTGGCGTTTCCCCACTTTTTGGTCCTGCAGATCCATCGTCGCTTGCTCTTTGGATTTCTCGTAATTCTGAACCAAGCGGTTCCAAGGCCTCTGATTCTGCAAGAAAGCTATTTTCAATTGCTACTTTGCTTGCATTCAGTTCCAAGTTGGGCATTTCTGCAATCTGTGTATCATTTTCGCTATCGCCGCTTGCTTCTTTTCTTACTACTACATTTGAAACAGGCGTATCAACCTCTTGTCTAGCTTGTCCAACATTG